GTGCTATTTCTGGATTGTATAAAGAGAGACATGCACAAAAACGCTGTGGAGAGTGGACAGCAAGAGTGGCAAGAATGACCCTGTCGTGTGGAAATGTTATATTACATGGAAAATACTGTTTATGTTATGTGTGCTTGACATTTAAGAAAATGGCTTTGGGGCTAAGGGGATCCCGGCTTAGCTGGTTAATCACTTACCATGAATGCATGAGGACTAGAGTTCAAATCCCCAGCGCCCATGCCAATGCTGAGTGGGCATAGGGGCCTGCCTGTAATTCTAGCACTCAGCCAGGATTCTCAGAACAAGGTGGCCAGTGGAACTGGTCAAGTTGGTGAGCTCTGCTTTCAACCGAAATAGGCTGCCTCTGTGAATACGAGAGAGTGATAAAGAAAAACACCCAACATCAACCTCTTCCTCCCACATGCATGTGTACATTTGTGCACAGCAGCACATAAATGTGTACCCACAAGCATATATATGCACATGTATACCACACACAGACACAGGTCAAAAGTATATGTTTAAAGATACATGTTATTGCAATGTGGTTGGGACTCATCAACTATGCTCATACAAATAATTTGACCTGAAAATTAGAATTGTTGCTGCAGAAGCACAGAGTGAGGCCTTTAAAGGGGCTCTATCACAAAAAGTCCTGTGCGTCCTCAACTCAGACCTTAAAAATAATATACACAGGGGCTGGAGAGATGGTTCAGTGGTAAGAGCACTGGCTGCTCTTCCACAGGACCTGGGTTCAATTCCCAGAACCCAAATGGTAGCTCACAATCATAGGTAATTCCAGTTTCAGGGGATCCAACACCCTTTTCTGACTGTGTCAAATATATATTTGATGCAAGACATACCTGAAAACAAATACTCATACATATAAAAATATATGCAAACCATGAAATAGGAGTATATTTTAGAGAATAATTCAGAGTATGGATACCATGTGAATAGTGGCCTCCAAACCATCTGAGCCTTAACCTCCCATTTTTGTAGATGTGACTATATAAAGTCTGGACTTGATGTCTACACATGTCCTTATGATGGAAAGAATTGGGTATTTGATACAGAGACTCAGAAGGGTGGCCCACATCATGAGGAGTCTCTAAGCCAAGGAATGCCAAGTTAGCACAGGGTACAAGGAGGTTAGGAGAATGACAAGGACAGTCTTCCTCACAGGCTCCCAAAGATGTCAGCCCTGTCACACCTTGGCTTTGGACTTTTGGCTTCCAGAATCATAAAATAATAAGTTCTGTTGTTAGGGCCACCAGGTCTAGAGTCATTGATTAGAGCAGGTGGCGGGTATGGTGTCTAAGAACCCTCAGATGACAAGAGGGGAAGATCCTAAATGAGGCAAAGGGACTGTAGAAACATCTGGAAACCAAACTTAAACAAGGAAATGCTTAGCTTGTTGCATGAGAGAATGGTGAGAATTTTACGAATGACCACAAGACAGTCAAGACCTCAGCTCCCAGAGAAGGACCATGTGGCTAGAGCACCAGGACAAACCCCGACTGACAGCGGCTTCTTCCTCAGTGGCTAGTAGAAGGGTCCCACTGAGGAAGGGTGGATGGGCAATCTTGACTTATTCTTGAGTTACTGACTTCTGCTGTAGGCCATTGATGATGAGAAACCATCTTTAACCAATGTGTGTGTGTGTATGTGTCTTAGATATTTGAATGCCTTATTCAAATGCCTTGTATCCATGTCTGTCTCTTTGCTGACTGTAATGACAGACAGCTCTTCAAGGCTTTCCCATCTATTAAGATTGCTCATGACAGAAGCCTCTGAATTCCATACACTCACTATCATGGTTTCATATCCCAAGGAATCACATGGATCCATGTTAATCCAGCCTCTGTTTTGAGCAGGTCATATTTACTAGTCCCACTTTACCATGCCCTTGAAAGTCAAATCTCCCTTTTCTTAAAGAACCACTTCAGAGCAAGATTTTGTGTCCAGTAGATTACCTGGTATCGCTGACTGTGCTCATTGGTGGAAATTCTGGAATTCCAGGACTACCTGGAAGGATGGGAGTCCCGTCTCTATCCACAAAGGAATCATAATTATACAATTGAACCAGTCCCAAAGCAAACATGGTCCCACTGAAAACCACTGAGTTCTGCAACATGCTGAGATGATGAGCTAGTAAAATAGATTGTCTTTTTTTTTTTTTTTTTTGCTTCTGACTGTGGTAAGGTTTTGTATGATTTTGATATAATTAAGTCCATTGATGGAGGTGAAAGCTGTGGGTTTTTTGGAGTTGTTATTGTATTTGCATGTTTGTGGGCTCATGTAAGTGGCTTTTGCAGCCAAGAGTGAGTCACAGTAATTACTATCAAGCTTGGGCAGGAATAATAAATGGGTTTGTTCTCCAGGACTACAAGGATAAAACCTTTCTCAAAAGTATCCTATGGTATAAGATTGAATCAGTCATGTTCACACTCCCAGGCTATGGTGTGGTTGATACAGTTGCAGGGGTTACAACATGTCCTTTTGAGATAAAAGTCCAAGTCCCAATGGCCTACATGATCTGAAAGAGATGGCAAGGTGGAGGTGAGGCTGTCAGGCCAGACCCAGGCCCACCAGCTCATCAGCTGCCGATTGTAGACTCTGTCTATCTAGGAAAAACATGAAGGGTGGCCAACTGAGGAAGGACAGGCAGCTGTGGGCAGGCATGGAAGAGAGCTTGAGTACTGTTCTAGTTTCATAAAATACCCTGATGAAAATTTATGGGAAAGAAGCTTTCTTTCAGCTCAAAATTTCATGTAACATTCCATCTTAGCAGGGAGCTCAAGGTGGTAGAACTTGACGTGGTCAGCCATTTCATAGTAACACACAGAGAGAAAAAAATTAATTCATACAAGCCTGTAACTCAGCATACTTTGTCTGCTCTTAAACAGCATAGGACTCAAACCCAAGGGTTGGTTCCACCCAATGTTGGCTGGGTCTTCCCATGTCAATGAATTTAACCAGACAATCCCCCACAGACATGCCCACAGGCCAATCTGAACTATCCAGTCCCTCACTGAGACTCTTTTCAGGACATTCTAGTGTGTCAACTTGGCAATTAAAAGTAAACATCTTATGTCCCATGGGCCAATAATCAGTTTCCTTTGCATTATAGTTCATTGGTAGGTAGGTGTATTTTTAGAATGATTTATTTTTCATTGGCATACTAAGCAAATTAATGCCAGGATGACAAAATCTGTCTTTATCATCCCTACCTGTAGAGTACCAGGAGGCACTGGAACAAACATTCTACTGTGTGGTTGCCATGACTCAGCAGTCCAGAGGAGACTCTGGAAGAGAGACCTGGACTTTGGGTCAGTGGAATAGCTCTGTGGGTGCTTTCTACTGCTGTATTCCACATCTGGGCTACAACATCAGCAGTCCCACCCGGCTTACCCTTCTGTGCTTGGAGGGAAGCATGCAGATGAAGGAGTGGCAGGGGAGAGTCTGAAGGGCACCAGGATGGATGCTGAATCTGCCCGGCCTTTGCTTCTCATAGGCTTTGTATAGCTCAATCCAAAGGAGAGGGAAGACAAAAGACTTCTCTACCGTGATACAAGGAGCAAAGTAATCACCTTCTCAACACCCAAAGCATCAAGTAACCACACCTAGATCAAAGCATCCTGTTAGTTGTAGCCCCTGGGTCAACCCTCCAGTCAATAACCTATAAGAAGCAAGAGTAGGCCTGAGCTGACTCCACATCTGTGGGCTCCCACATTCTACCATTAGCTGTTTCCTGAAGATCTTTTGAGCTTTTCAAGCAGGCCACCAGCATGGGCCTTATTATTACTGTTCGCCTATAATGCAAGCACAGGCTAGCGCTCTGTCTCTTAGCAGCCCATGCAGTTTTAGAAAAGGCCCTGCTTCCTGTCCCAGTTCCAGTCTCTGTGTGGCTCAGTGTCATTTGCCTTCCTACCTGGAGGGCTATTGGAGGGGACAGAAGAAAGTGACCCCATGCTGTCCCATGGGAAGGGAGCAGGAAGTGGGCTCTCCTCTACTTCTCCCAGTCTATATGGTCATCGCATTGCTACTTTACCTCCTCATATCCGGGCTAACTAGTGGTTCCTTTTAGAACTGATTGTGGTTGAGTGTTGTCTTATTCTGAAACATTGTCTTCAGGAAAAAAGAGAAACGGAGAGAAAGTAGACAGTCACAAAGCACCTCCGTGATCCGCCTTCTTTAGCCCGTAGGTAAAAATTCCTTTTTTTCTCTTTTTTTTTCCTCTGCTCTCATCTTTTAAATATATAAAGAAAACACAAAGAATTAATTTGGACTTTCAATGGGAGGAAAGAGGTTTGTTAATGGAACGCGAGGACAGAAAAGTAATTGTCTTTTTTAGAGAGTCTCACTATGGAGCTGAGGCTGTTTGGATCACCCAGGATGGCCTTGAACCTTGACCTTCCTGCTCCTGCTTCCTAAATTCCCTGAGTGCCACAGTGTCCAGATCGTGTGGTTTCTGTAGAACAACCTTTGTTTTATCTCTCATTTGTCCACCCATCCACCCAGCAACCCATCTCTCCACGCATTGGTCAGTGCAGATTTCCATCCAGTCGCTGAGTATCCACAGGGCAGAGGATGAATGACAAGATCTTCCCGTACTGGGTTCACACTCTGCTTAGTGCAAGGGGAGAGCTTATGATGTAACCCCAGCTGGAGCAGGGCCCTGTTGGCTGAGGTGATTAGTAAGAGACAGCACATCTTCCTTTCGAATGCTGGATTCCAGAAATCAGGAAGCAGATGCTAAGAGAGCTGTGTTCTCTGTCAAATCAAGTATTACCAATACAAGGCCACGCCGTTTGAGTAAGATACACCAATGGAGGCTCCTGGGCGGCACAGAGAACAGACAGGAACACCATCCTGAGTGTCTGGAATCTCTGCCTCTCAGCATCTCAGACTCACTGATGTGAGTGAGCCCGGAAGCATGCTACCTGTGATCTGGCTCCCTCTGCTTCCTAATGTTGCTCTGCTCTGTTTGTTTTCAGATCCTGCGATTGTCAATGGTGTTTATTGGTCTGAATCCCTAAACAAAGTGTTTGTAGATAACTTTGACCGGGACCCATCTCTCATCTGGCAGTATTTTGGAAGTGCAAAGGGATTTTTCAGGCAATACCCAGGTAAGTGTGCCTAAGTTGACTACCCTGGTTTCAGTGAATGATGTTGTGAGTCCCTTTAGTTTCCCAAGTAATAGTTTTCTCCGTTCCCTTGGAAGAAAGTGAAGAATTAGATCCTGTTGTTAGCATACAAAATAGGAGCAAAAAGGAGATACCTGTGTGTATGTACACGTGCGTATGTGTGTGCTCACACGCGTGTGTGTGCACACACACACCCCGCATTGATAACAGAAACTGTGTGGCTTTAGCATCTTTATCCATAAATTAATTCGTAGAGCAAACAAAGCACTGGGGCATGACCCATACCACATTTGGTCTTCTCAGACAAGAGCTTGGTTTCTCATTATTCCACTCGTGTTCATTGTTGTGTGATCATTGTTGTCAGAGGAAATAGATCAAGTCATGGGGGCAAAAGTAAATTTTGACTAAAAGGTGTAAGAAATATAGAACGTGAACTTAGGTTCTCTGACTCCAGAGGTGGCTTACCTCTGGAGTCAGAGGTTGAAAGAGTCGAAGCATGGCAGATGGTGACACCCCTCTAGAGAGCACCCCCTCAACAACTCCCCCAGGTCAGCATGTTTCTGGCATTTGTTTGTCATTCCCATGGAACAGGTGTTCCATCTGGAGCCTTCCTGGGCCTCTGCCTCGCAGTAGGGTTTTAATTCTAGCTTGGCTTAAATTTTAATTAAAACGGGAAGTTTTAATTTTGCTTACAAGTTGTGAAAACAGGACTTGAGGCTGCAATTGTTCCAGCATCACAGCTGTAGAAATTAACTAGCTCAACCTAAAAGGAGGGGGAACATGCACACTCATGCGCACACACAAACACACTGCACATTCTTGGAGCAATTAAGCCGAGGCTTTCATTAAGTAAGGCTAGGCACCCGATGACTTTCGACGTTACCGCACCAACACCATAAGCTTCCACCTTTAGGAGTGTTTGCTCTGCACACAGCATCTGTGGCCTGAGACGTGCCTGACGGGGCATCTGCCTTAGCAGATTATTCAATGGCTCCCAAGAGTCCTGTTCCGCAGGGTGCACATGCTTCCTTGTGGAGCTCACAGTCATTTAAGCAATAAGTATCCTATTACAGATAATGTTATAATAAACAGTGGACCATTAAAGTTTTTAATGTCACTAAATTGCAGTCCGCGTTGATGTGCATAGCAGAGCAACTTTGATGCACACTGTTAAGGCTGGAAATTGTGGAGCAAGCCAGCCCGCCTAGCAGTCACCTGGATAGCTGGCCATCTGACCTTGTGGCATTGGGATGTGGGTGGAAGAGGTAAATAGGAGCCACAATCATGGGGTGTCTTCACCAACAAGAAATCTTTAAAGTAGAGTTGTAAAGATGTTGGAAAGCAAGGGGAGTCACCATAAAGGGCTCATGTGATTGGGAGATTTATTAATAGATGAAGCCAGTTTAGTCAAAATGCTAGCACTTCTCCTGTGGTAGTTTTGGCACAATTTTAACTCCATAGGATATCTGTATCTTTTCTGCCTTTGTTAATACATGGATACAGTCTTCTGAAGAGATTTGGTTGCCCTGAATGATGTCGTGTGGCCACTTGACTCTGGAATTGGTTCCAGACAGAGCTCATCTCTTGCCTCCTGCTCACACAGTAAAGAGAAGCATGAAGTGGGAATTTTACCATGGATTTTTTTCATATTAGGATACTTCTGTCCGCTTTCACTGTATTGTAAAAGCGCCAGTTGGTACCAATATACCTGACCTTAGGTAGATAAACTCTTCTTCATCCTCACAAGTGTATCCAAAGCCCTAGGCTTATCATAAGCCGTGAGTGAGGACTTGCAAAGCAGAAGGTAGATTAGGTAGCAGAGGTCAAATTCCCCAGTTTGACCTTGAGAAGCTCTCTCTTGTGAAAAACACCTTGATCAGAAGTTTGGGTAACAAATGGCATAGACCCAATGAAGCCAAGCTCCAGCAAGGAACTCATGTTTAAGCCCCTAAAACCTGAAGTCGCGTGTGCTGTTCTAGAAAACTGGTACGTTCCATCCAACACTCGGTCAGATCCTTGTTTCTCTTGCACATGATCCACTTAAACCGAGGATCAGTGTCTTCCATCTTGCAGGATTTTTTTTCAGTGAGGATCGTGGGGGTGTAGTGGGCATGCGCTCCAGTAGTTTGGATAAAAGCACATCGAACTGTGCATGTCTGGAACACAGGACTGCTAAGCCTCTCTCAGGTAGTACTTGGTTACAGCGGCCCTGGTGAAGTCATGAAGCATCTCAAGCTTAGTGCCTCTTGTGCCTCTTTTACCTGTTAGCCACCACCGGGCATCTGCCTGTCCTGGCACTTGTGATTTCTTTCTGAGTGTCTGTGCCTCCAGAGAGACTCCTTGGGGGATTCTAGTTTGGGTCAAGTTGACCTGCACAGGGTCATCCTATTCTGTGTCTACTTCGGTGCTGGTATTGTATTCTTTGCTAGTTTCCCAGCAGGCTGATCTGATAGGGGCTTTTAGGGAAACAGGGCTGCCAAGGGCGCCTGTGGGGATGCGGAAGTTGCAGCCCACCTGCAGTGCTCCCATTTCATAGCCACCCCTGTCCCTTCTAGAAGTTTTGGGAGAGCACAGCACAGTAAGGATGTCAGTAGAAGAAGCCTGACAGAGCCATACAGTTCTGGTGGATGAGACATGGTGTCTATAAATATGCACGGGCAGTAATGACACATGTGATGAATGCAGGGAGCATGCACTGGGTCAGCACACACACACACACACACACACACACACACACACACATGGGATTGTGCCATTCTAACTATGCCTGACTTTCCACAAAACAGTGTGCCAGATACATTCGGAATGAACCGCATTATGGCCCCTTATTGTGCCCTTTAGAGTAGGTCCCAGTGCTGGTACCAGGAGGGCAGATCATAGTATCACTGTGGGACACACAGTGCCATCTCCAGGCTATCTGGATATCTGTGTGGTGGTTTGTGTGCATTCTCTTCTCCCAGTCAGTTCTTGCCATGGCAGGATCAAGAATGCTGGCCGTCGTGAGTTGAGAAAGACAAAGAAGCAGTCAGTGCTGTGCTTCAAATCAGGACTTTCAGCCATGAAAATAACTTTTCTGTCTTTTTTTTTCTTCTTCAAAATCTGTTTGAAGTCCTCTAGCCAGGAGCAGGACTGCTGGCCAAGAATGGCGAGGCCCTAACTTGTTTTAAAGCAGTCATTCCTGTATTTTTAAATGAATGAGAAGTAATACATTTATTTGTTTATTATGTGTGTGTGAATGTGGGCTGTGTATGCATGAACACATGTATGTACATGTCACCGTGTGTGTAAGTCAAGAGGGCAGCTTGAACCAGGTGCTTCTTTTCTGCTATCATGTGGGCTTGGGGATTAAACACACATTGTCAAGCTTTGCAGGAAATACTTTTGCCTGCTGAGCAGTCTTATTGGCCCTGAAACAAAATACCATTCTTAAACTAATCAGATGTACAAGGAGAATGCCACCCTTGGTTCTCCATCTATGAGAATGGGAATGACTATGGGAAAAACTGCTTTGGCTTCCAGGCCTAGAGTCAAACTTTATTTTGCAGAATAATTAGGGTCATTTCATTTGAGCAGGGAAAGGCATGCCAAATGTCTGAGTTTTAAGACAGGAGCTGGGAGGAAACACTGTGAGGTGGGACCATCAGATCCCATGGTTTCTCCTTAGCCCAGGCGATAGACATGACCTCACTGGGGTCTGGGGATGGGGCCAGACACTGCCTAGAGACCTTTGAATGATGCCAGCAGCTTCAGCACCTTGCTGGGCTGTGAGAAATGGTCTTGGCTGTCTTTATCCAAAGCTGTGAAAGGAACGAGAGTCACATCCCTTCTCCATGGACAGCATGTTGTGGAGGCTGTCTCCATTCACTGTCCGAGGCAGGAAGGGCTAAGGCCCTGTTTGCTGTAGGGCTCGCGCCTGAGGGCGCTTTGCAGAGCTGGGTGAATGACCGATGAGGAGCTCCTGGGCTCTGATTTTCCACCCCATCTATTGGGTCAGCAAAGCAGAGCAGCCTTAAAGTACTGCAGATAACCATTTGAAGTCTCAGGGTTTCTCAACACCCCCATTTTTCTTCTAGGGATTAAATGGGAACCAGATGAGAATGGCGTCATTGCCTTTGACTGCAGGAACAGGAAATGGTAGGCAGAGCTTAAACCTCTTAGTCAATTTTGAGAGAAAATATCGAGAGGCCACAATTCATGTTTACTTAATTTTCTGTCCACTTAGGTATATCCAGGCAGCAACTTCTCCAAAAGATGTTGTCATTTTAGTGGATGTCAGTGGCAGCATGAAGGGACTCCGCCTGACCATCGCCAAGCAAACAGTCTCCTCGATTCTGGACACTCTGGGCGACGATGACTTCTTCAACATCATCACAGTGAGTGTGCCTGTTCTGTGCTTTCTTTGCGCTTTGGGTCATTCACACTGTTGCTGTTGGATGTGCAGGTTCTGGGGACCAGAAGATGAAGGTTGATTATGGCCACATGCAATTCACTGAATCAGGGACAGTAGAGGGTCTTCTAGGGAGACTGAGAATGCTATGGAATTCATTGCTTCTTTGAGGTTAGCAAACAGCATCTCCAGCCTTTTTTGGGGATCTTGGGGAAGAGATGTAGAAAAGATGTCCCATGGGCTGCCAGAATTTTTCATGTGATATTGAACTTGAAGCCAGGTCAATCCCATGTCCATGATGGTAACTGATGAGATACTGAAAGACGGGGAGTAGTGTGCCCTTCGTAGATACAACATCTTTCCTCCCCAACACTCCAGGAGATTGGCCAGCTTGGGCATATTCTCCAAGGGAAGAGCCGAGAAAAGCATCAGTGAAATGTCTGGGGTCCCAAGACATGGCAGGCCAGAGAGTCAGCCATGGCTGGACAGTGACACAGACGTGAAGAGAGATGTATTCCGTTGTAGTTATTTTTGTTCTTCACTGTTCTTTGATATGATTGTCACCATGCACCTTATGCCCCTTCCCTTTCAAAGACCTCCCTCTCTTTTCAAAGATTTCAGTCACAAGGAGCTTCGCCCCTCTGTCATGATCAGCTAGGCATGTGGATGTGGTGCACAGGTGTGCTTTGCCATGTTCATCCGTTTGGGACATCCTATGTTCTGTGTCGCAGGTGACAGTGGAGGTAGTGTGGCAAGAAACGTGGAGTTTGGGCATTGGCGTTTGGATGCGGCTCTGTGGTGCGTGCCTTTCCATACCTTTGGACAGAGGGTGATGTCATCAAGTCCTGTGTTAGGGCAGCTGTCGGAAGAAACAGATCACCAACTTCTGTTCTCTAGGTCAAGGTGCAAGTGCTTAAGTAGCAAGGGTATTGCCTGGGTCCTCTTCCGACATTTTCTGATGAGATCTCCAGATGCAAAGGCTTAACCACAAAGCAAAGGAACTGACAGTAAAGCTGAGGCTTTAAAAAGCCATTGAGCTGTGCCAGCAAGGCGGTTCAGGAAGAAAAAGTGTTAGCTTCCCAGCCACAAGTCAATCCCCAGGACTCTAACAATACAACACCACCTGTTCTTTTCCATGTCACAAGCATGTGTGTGTGCATACTCGCATGTGTGTGTGCATACCCATGTACACACACATGCATCTGCCTAATAAGTGTAGTAAAATTTTAAAGCTCGGAAGAGCAACTGGAAAAGAAGGAAACTAGTACCTTACTGGGTGCAGAAGTTGATTACCGTGTATGCCCAGTCCCTTGGTCAATGCCTGACAAACAGCAGGAGTTTAAAAGCTGAATAATACAGTCTACATCAGGGCTTCTCAGCCTGTGGGTCTCGACTCCTTTGGGAATCCAATGATCCTGTCACAGGGGTGGCCAAACCATAGGAAAACCCAGGTATCTGCACTAGGATTCATACCAGTCGCAAAATTACAGTTATGAAGTAGCAGCGAAAATCATTCTATGGTTTGGGGTCACCACAGCATGAGGAACTGTATCAAAGGGTCGCAGCATTAGGAAGGATGAGAACCACTAGTCTCTAGAGTACCCACTGTGTGAAGCCCACACCCAGAGAACCCCAGTAACTCACTGCATTGACCTTTCACCTTAGCCCTGTGCACATGGTGTGAAGGCAGAGGCACAGAGCAGCGTACATCACTGTCTCAAACAGGCAGTCGGAAGGAGGCGCACAGTGAAGCCTTGCTGACTTGCCTGCTCTAGCTCTCTTGTGCAGAAGTGGAGAGAATACGACTTGTCTCTTCGGCCATCTCACCGTGCAGACCTTGAATTCAGGGCCTCATGCTTTGCAAGGAGGTTTCAGATCAAGAGTCCATTGGCTTTCTAATCAGGATTTCCCCTAGTTGCCAGCCTCCACGTGACTATGCAAATGTGGTCGGAGGCTCACGTATCCTGGAGCATTTACAGATAAGTCGCAGCAAATTCGAGACTATCTCTTTTATTAATCTTTAATTATGTCTCGCAGAAGTATCAGAAATCCACAGAAGAAGAGGCGCTAACTAATTACATCCTACGTCCTTTATCTGTCAGAATTTATTGTTCAGTTAACACGGCCAATCACGTGGAATAATCTGTGTAAGTTCATTAAGATATCCAGCGTCAACGCAATAATGAGGAGAGGGTGATTAAGTTAATTAAAAGGAGACAGCCAGCTATTATGGAATAGTTGAGGGAAAATATTTTTTCTTTACCCTGAATCATCTCCTGATAGAAGAAATCCCATTGGCAGTTAATATTAGCCATCACTTTGCATCTATCCCTTAGTTTCTAGCATGAATTAAGACTATGTGCAGTTATTGTGATGAAGATCTCTGGATATCTTTACTTGACCCCTTATGACCGTGATCTCCTTGTGTGTGTAAGTGAATGGATGGGATATAGTAGTGAATTCACATAGGAAGGCAATGAATCAATTCTAACTTTCTATGGTGATTGCCCTTGAATGAACAAAACCTGTAAATTTCTTTGAACAATTCAGATTGTTCATTCTTACATCTGATACAGTTATTTCAATTTTGTCTATATATCTGTCCACATACTTCAAAATTATATTACATTTTAGTATGTGTGTATCTTTGGATGTCAGAGGGAAGCCTTCAGGAATCTATTCTTTCCTCTTAGCCTCTGGGTCCTGGGGACTGAACTCAGTCTGTAAGTTTAGCAGCAAGTGCCTTTACCCACTGAGCTGTCCAACTGACCTAAACCTATTTAATTTTTTCACAAATAGAATCATATTCCACAGAATACCTACTAATTCATCTCTATGTCTGATTTTAATTAAGTGTATTTGTCACATATAGTTGACATTAGAAGTTTGCCCAAGCCTCTTGCTGCCTATAGATGTATGTGACTATTGTACTGTGAGGCCCTCTCATCTATCTGAGCGTGCTCTAGCAGATGAGCTAGCTCTCCATGACCTGGACCGCACTGAAGATACTGTGTACATGCTTGTGAGGTGGGGCGTGCATTTGACTTAGAATATATACATGAAATTGCTACACCAGCGAGTATCACATCAGTCCCACCATAGTATCCACCAAGTAGTGTGCAAGTTCGCATCTTCTGGATGGCTGGAGGCCAGAGCTGCAGATTCAGAGGGGGTCAGCTGTCACTTGCATTCCCTTGAGTTGTATCTTCTGGTACTCAGTGCATCATACACTAGTTTTGCTTTAGGGACTCTTATTTTGCTGCAGCATTTCCTCCCACTCCCACCTTGCATAGTGTCTCCAGAGTATGGTGTGGCTTTTCCCCAAGTCTTTTTAGAATAGCTTCTGGCTTGAACTAGTGGTGATGGGTGCATACATGAATGTGGTTACTTGGTTCTTGCAGAATTCTGCTGCCTAAGAGGACATTCCTGTGGCAACCTTTGCTGTGTGGCCAGCCTTCTTCTCCTCACCATGTAGATGCTTAAGGAAGCATCTTAGAGATAGAAAGTCAAGAGCACATTCCTTACTTTCAGTCCTGGAGGTCTTCATGCACTGTAGGGTTTTGTTTAGACAAATCTAATTTATCCTTGTCTTTGATTTCAGTGTCATAATGCAGGAAGGCAGGGGACATTCAAATAGTAGGAAAGATATTTCATGGCCATTTGAATGATTACATTTCATTAAATTCATTGTCAAGTATATCTTATGTATTATATTGAAAAACTCATAATCTGGTTTTTTCCAGAGAATAAATATGAATGAACACTTTTATCTTTGATGGGCAGGATATTGAAAAATCTACCTAGAGCTAATGAATTAGCTGCTGGAATTTAGAAAGAACAAGGGAAATAGAGGGGTTTGTGCACTTGGAGTTAGAATTTGAGGTTAAATTATGACACAAAAAGGAGCATATATTTCTTCATTGACTTGGAAGTCTTCCTCCAAGCCATGCATTAAATGAACAGCATTATCATAAAAATGAGGGTGTTAATTCCATCTGCTACTGGAAGTTGAGAAATGGATTTTACAGAAGCCTAGGTCAGGCATTAAGTGAACACCACATTAACTGGGCCAGCATTGTGAAATCAATTTAAAGGCCTCCTGCAGTTCAGGACTGTGCAAATGGTATGGAGGAGACTCATTTGCGAGTTCATCCTAGACAGTTCTGGTGCTCTGTAATTCACTGTTGTTGTTGTTGTTGTTTTTCTGAGAACTAATTCTCCCACACTCTTGTGCTGTGCTCCCCTTTACAAAGCAAACCTCACTATCATGAGGCATGGGTTGGTGTTCACTTTTTTTGCTGGTTAGTGCTGGACTGCTAATTTTAGCCAGTTGTTTTTCTAGTTTCACAAGATATTTTGGTAAGCTGGAAGAGACCTTGCCTTGGTGAAAATATTGTGGTTTCCTCTGCTTCCTTCCATACTTCCTCCATTGTCATCCTAAAAGTCATTTAATTAGAGATACAGCCGCAAGACTATTAACTTATTTAATTGAGTCTCATTTGTATCAGCTTCCTAAAATGGAGCAATGGGGCTTCCTCCATTGCTTCTGTGAGCAAGCCAGCTTATGGACTTTTAATATTATGGGCTCTTGGTAGAATTCCAGAGTCTCTAGGACATACCTACTTATTCCTTTATGGCTAGCTTATCAATCTGTTGTTTGGAAATGGATAGAGATTCTATTTTTTAGGTTTAAACTTCAGTTTTTTTCTTGTGTCATTAGTGAGTTTCTCTGCACTCTTGCTTTTTTTGCCCTTTTATTATTGTGGTCAGTAGGTCTAATAAACATGGCTGTGTGCTCGGTGTTAGGTGCTAGGCTGCTGTAGAAGACAGCCATCTGCCTCATGAACCCTGAGATTCTGTGTGTGACTGTCTGATGGGGAAGCCCAGGAACAGCCACTCATGGTACAATGAGGCCAGCACCTTGTGGGAGAGAGCCTGCCAAGGACAGGGTTAAAACATGCAAACCATGGGAGATTTGGAGACAGCGTCTTAGAAGGTGATGTCTAGGCCAGCATTGAAGGAGATAGACAGTAGGCCTAAGTCACGGGGTTGGTTCAGAGATGGTAGGGGGAAGGATATTTACTGAGAAGGCAAGCGTCCTTTTCAGGTTGTGAGTCTCTCTCTCTCTCTCTCTCTATCTCTCTCTCTCTCTTTCTCTCTCTCTCTCACACACACACACACACACACACACACTTCAGAAGAAAATTGATTGTGTCTGGAACTGATTGGGATGAAGGAGGACATGGAAAAAACTGGGTAAAGAATTGGACTGCATTGAGAGAGTCAGGCCATATCATAAAAGTCCAGTCAGCTGTGTACATGAGTCTCAGTTTCCAGGGCGATATGGGGTGACTGCTTGGAAGTCTCTCCCCTCTTACTGGGTCTTCTCTCACCACAGTGTCTAAGCAACTGGTAGTCTGTTCCATCAAATCTGAAAGATGTATTATTCTCTTTCATCAAGTTGGGTTTCTGATATGAAGCCCAGGTACGTTAGCGTCATTTAGAACCTTATCATCATCAGGTACCTGAGCATCATCTAGAGCCTCATCATCATCAGGTACCTTAGCATCATCTAGAACCTTATCATCATCAGGTACCTGAGCATCATCTAGAATCTCATCATCATCAGGTACCTGAGCATCATCTAGAATCTCATCATCATCAGGTACCTGAGCATCATCTAGAATCTCATCATCATCAGGTACCTGAGCATCATCTAGAACCTTATAATCATCAGGTTCCTGAGCATCATGTAGAACCCAAAGACAAGCTGGGCACTGTCTACATGTTGCATTCCCATACCTCCCTCCTTCTTCTCTTCCTCACTGAGTATGCATATTTGGTGGCCTGCCTCTTCTTCCTTCATGCCTAGACCTTGAGCATGCTCATTCGTCATCACAGTGCGTCTCTGGCAGGGACAGTGACTCCAGATTTCTCCAAACCCTGTGGCTCATGGAGCTGCAAAGCCTTGGCCAAGTGACCCAGCTTGTATGTTGCAAAATCAGGGACTATTTATGTGAACCCCAAAAGGAAGATGACCACATCTTCAATATAAACTTATGTGACCATATAGTGCTATTGATTCAAAAAGCAGAAATCCAGGGAATACTGGAGTTGGGAAAACAGCTCAGTCAGTAGAGTGCTTGTTGTTCAAGTATAAAGTTCTGATTTTAGGTCTCCAAGATGTTAAACCTAGGCACATAGATTCCAAGTGTCTGTAATGTTGGTGCTACTAGAGGGAGGGAGAGAGACAGGCAGATCCCTTGAGTTCATTGGCCAGCCAGTCTAGCCAATCAATGATCTCCAAGTTCAGTAAGAGACTCTGTCTCAATAAATAAGGTGAATAGTGATAGAGAAAGATACCTAATTTTGACTTCTGGCCTCAACATGCATGCACACACATGTGCCCACATACACACATGTACACCTCCATAAGAACAAATCCTTGTACATTCCTTACACGTACACACATACAGAATAAAAACAGCAAAGACATCCAGGGAGCATCTGTAAACATGCACCAGCTGAAAGGTGTCCAAATGGGGAGCCACTGGAGCTTAAGAAGTGCATCCATGTGCAGGGCACCCTTTGTAGTCGGTCCCTTGGGAGTTTGAGGAGCTTGTGTGGCCAGTGGGCTTTCTTGATTCCGCTGTTAGACTTGTAAGATGTCTCTCTACACATGGCCACCTCCGCTCCCCACAGTGATACAGACCAGATTGCTGGGTCAGCTCAATCCTGATATTGTCAGGGGAAATTAAGAAACTGCAAGCTTGGATGCTGCCACTAACAAGCTGGCTGGAGTTCAGCAGAGCGGATTCCTCTACTCTGGGTGTGCAGGGAGAGTGAGCCTGGTTCTCATTACTGCGCATGTACCTCCATGATGAGGATAAAGTTTCCTGTCTTCTTTGCTTTCAAGCCCCTCCTGAGCCCCTCCCCCAGCCTGTGCTAGGTGCTGTTTTAGCAAAGAGCATTCACCGAGATATGTCACCTCCCTACATGTCCACAGGTCTACTTTAGTGGTTACCATACACTGGGTGGGTATGAGGATGAGGGGTCAGAGAGGCTTAGCCCCGTGGTGTACATAGCAGCACAGGACTTGGTGCCAGCTGTCCTAGTGGTGATAATTTTGGACTCTACAACTTTGAGAGTGTGTGTTAGGAAGAGTGTTGGTGAAACTTTTTAAAATTACCTGGAAAATCCAGGCATAAGAGCAAGAACAAGTGTGGGGAGATGTCTCAATGGGTAACATGCTTGTCCTGCAGGCCCCAGGACCTGAGTACAGATTCCCTGAATCCATGTAAATCCAGCCATGGCAGCACACATCTGTTTTGCCAGTACTCCCATGGAAAGATGGATGGTACCAGAGAATCTCCACAAATTCCTAAGCCAGCTAACATGGCGTGTGCATCTAGTAGAGCATCTAGTAGAGCATCATCTAGTAGAGCATCGCTGACTACCTGTGGTTAGCTAAGACCACTTACATGGCAAGGATATTGTGGCGCAAGGGAGGTAAGGGAGAAGGGAATGGCTCCCTCTCCAGCAGCCACTTTCCTCCAAAGTGCAGAAGAATTGTGGAGACGCCCTTATGTTGACCTGTGTAGATCCTTCCTGAATCCAGAGGTGACTTCCCATCTGGGAATGAAATGTCACACCCTGTTCCTCAGCAATTAACTTCAGCATAGCAAACATCTATTTTTTTAAAAAAATTTTCTATTTAACATAACAAAACTATGCACAATCTACATACAGCTCTAAGAATCATTTCAAAATGAAAACATTTGGTCAGTATAGCTGACCATTTCCAGAAATAGAACATTACCACAAACCCCCAGAAATCTAGTAGAACCAGTCTCTCTCACTACCCTCATTAACAAAAACATCCACTATCCCAAGAAGAGCTGTCTGGCAAAGAAAAATAGGTCCTCAGTTATATCCCCACACTTGGTGGTAGGGAGTGAAGATAAGGCAGACCCACATCTTCTCAGTACTTCAGAGGACAAATGAAAATTTCCAGATGCATTTGCAAGACCAGAAGCAAAGGCCTAAGGGGGCAAAGGTGAGCCTGGTGGGAAGTGAAGGGGCCTTGGGGTGCAGAGGATGTTGAAATTCTCAAACAAAGTGGCTGTGAGGTCAGACGTCTGGACGTGAGCCTGGACACTGCTCGCTACTTAGTCACTGAGGTCACTGATGTCTTTGGCAGCTTGGTTTCCCCAGGCTCCCTGTCTAGGAGGATGAGCACGGAAGTCCTTGAGGCTGAGTCAAACTACAAATGAAGCTTACCCTGGATTTGAACGAAGGGAGGGCTCTCGAACAGTTAACTGCCTGGTGCAGCCCCACCCTGCCCCACCCCTTAGGCAGCTTCTCTGTGTGCTGCACTGCTACATCCTCTGTTCTAGCAGCTGCAGGTACAGTCCTGCAAGGATCCAGAGGGAGTGTCCCATGCTAGCCGGTTTTTCACTCTCATTTGCTTGGTCTTCCCATGGTGCTCGCTGATCACAGTCTTAAAAGTCACATCCTCAGCCAGATTTTCTTCTAGAGCGCCTGTGAGAGATGCTTCTAGTCTCTTCTTCCCTCGGCAGCTCTGGTTTTATTTGGCTGTTAAATTGGAAATGCCATAGGGCTTTTACTGATGAAATGGATTGGGGCACATACTGTGGGTTTGGTTCAGGGCAACAATATGTGTGCCGCACAGTTGGTCTTGGTCAATCACAATATCAGGTGATCGGGGGCACAGCTAAGGATGGGGTTTCCTAGTGAGCTGGGGGCTCCTGCTGAAGGAAACTAGACATTATATAGAGTCTACAGGAAAGAGCGTTGACTGAGTTCTTCTCCTGCACCTGAGGCTCCTTCCCAGTGGGTATGGGACTGAACCAACCCAGAGGATGAGCCTGGGTCAGCCAGGGAAAGCAGCAGCCAGGCAGAGGAGCTCTTGGTATGGTTGTCAGTGACGGAGGTCAAAAGAAAGGAAGAGGCCTGAGAGGGATGAGCAGAGAAGAATGGCTGACAGAGAATGCCTTGGCTGTGGGCTGATGAAGACACTTGAGTGGTCAGCCAATCCAAATGTCCAGAACCCATCAAAGCCCTTGGAGGGTCATGTGCAGAGGACAAAAATTAAGGGTCACATTCTGGATTGCTGGTGACCTAAAGTGTTGGGGAAGACACGTATTGGAAAAAGTCATATAGATGGTATCACTATATAACAGGAATATCACCAACACCCCCCTACACACAGACACCCCTTTCCAGAATTACTGAGAATATCAAAACCACTCCTGTCCTCTGTTATGTCACCTCTGTGTGTGACCAACACAGGTATCTCTTAGTTCTGTGAGGCTGAGGCTGGAGCTGAACCTGTACCACGCGATCTATCTGCTCCATCATGCCTGTACAACTGCTGTCTGCCCAGTCACTGTTGAAGGATGAGCAGTTAACAGTAGGAGCCATGCTGGGCTCTAGCGTGGACTCTTTAGATTCCTCTCAAACAAGTTTGTCTTTAGCACTTGTTTGTCTGAGTGACGGGAGCCTGTGGCGATGCTGACGACTTCCTGTGTGACCATGTACCCTTTGACTGTTAACTAGGACCCTTTGGGCTCTTCATTCATTGTTTTTTTTTTCTTGGTTGTTTCTACCCTTTGCAGTATAATGAGGAGCTTCACTACGTGGAACCTTGTCTGAATGGAACCCTGGTGCAAGCGGACAGGACCAACAAGGAGGTAGGAGCTACCACTGGGCAGGAACAGCGGGATCTGGGCATACCCTGTCTCTGTTATTGGGATTATTCATAGTAGTTCTATCTAATTTATTATTAAAATCTCATTGGATATAATATGTATTCGCTGTGGCCATTGCAGTGTACTCCAGGTATTGGAATGTTTACTAAGAAGCACATATAAAGTCATGACAGTAAAATAATTAGACTTTAATCAGCTGCCTGCTACTCTTGAATCTATTAGATTGGCTTTGTTTTCCTCTCGCCAGAAGCACATCTTGTATGTGTTCAATGTCTCTGTGAGTACCACAGGGAGAATATGGTTTTTAATGAGATCTCAAGAAAAATTGAACCCACTTCTTATTTCTCTTTTCTTACTTGATATGATGTATCGACGCATCATTGCGGTATCCTTTGGGATAATGTGTAAGCTTCACAAGAGAGGGCTGATCTGTGGACTGCCATATCCTAAATGTTCCAAGAGGGGCTCATCCCATAAGTACTGTGGAATACAATGAGGATGTGTTGAAGGAAAAGCTTGGGAAACGTAATGGAGGCTTTATTCAATTTTGAGTTCTCTAAAATTTTCTATAGCAGATTTCTATGATGCTCTATCATTTCCTCTTGGGAAAAATAAAAAAAGTAGCAGCAACCAAACTTCCTAGAAACTCCAGTACTTTCTGGTGACAAGACCACCAAGAGCTTTGTCATAGCAAACCTGCCCTACTCCAGCCAAGATGAAAGTCATTCCTTCTCTTAAATTAAAAAAAAAAAGATTAACAGGATCTAGAGACACATAAAAAATACATAATGTCTAGAATACAAAACAAAACCCAATCAACAACAGACAAACACAAATCCAAGCAAATTCCCATGTCATCTCAAGAACCAAAAAGCCACAACATAGATGAGAGAAGATGATCAGCAGAAGCATGTGGTGGCACAATTCAAATGTTGGAATTGCAAAGATGCTTCTACTAACAATTGGGGATTCTCCTTGAAGAAGTTAGAATATCTACGCAAAGAATAAGAGCTGAGACACAGAACCCCCTGGATCTAGGGAGAGAAATGTGTAATCACAGGCCAAAGATGAGAAGATATCCTAGCCTAGCATTTGACTGGAAAAAAGCACTCGACAAAACCCAAGACTCATTAATTTTTTTTTTAAATAATGCCTTAGTAAAGTGAGATGAACTATAATTTTGTCATGTTTAAAAGGCTATTCATAAAAACCTCAGCTAACAATGATCTTCGTGAAAGTTTGACAGTTTGACTTTGTTTAAAGCTATATTTGATATGTAGAGTTGTTTTGTCTTCATGTATTTCTGCACACCACATGAGTATCTTGAGGCCCACAGAGGCCAGAAGAGGACATCAAATCCCCTGGAGAAAGAGTTATAAATGGTTTTTAAGTACCTTGTAGGTGCTGGGAACTGAATCCAGGTCTTCTAAAAAAGCAGCCAGTGCATACAATTTCCAGAACCGAAGATAAAGTTGAAAAGCCATTGTGTACTTTATAATTTCAGTACTGGAGTACCAGAAACAGGCAGAGCCCTGAGACTCATTGACCATACAACTTAACTTACTTAGTAAGTTTCAGACCAAGAAATCACTTAGTCTCCCCCACCACTCTCTCTCTCAAAAGAAAGAAAAAAGAAAGAGAGGGAGGGAGGGAGGGAGGGAGGGAGGGAAGGAGGGAGGGAGGAAGAAAAGAAGAAAAGAAGGAAGAAGGAGAGAAAGAAAAAAGTGAACAGTACTTGAGGAATTATGACTAAGGCATATTCCTTAATATAAATGGACTCAACTCACCTATAAAAAGACATAGGTACACTAAAACAGAATCCGTCCTTCTGGTGCATACAAGAAACACACCTCAACCTCAAAGACAGACATCGCCTCAGAGTAAAGGATGGAGAAAAATTTTTCCAATCCAATGATCCTAAGAAACAAACTGTTGTAGCTATCCTAATATCTAACAAAATAGACTTCAAAATAAAAATCAGTCAAAAAAGACAAAGAAGGACATTTTATATTTGTCACAGGAAAAATCTATCAAGAAGAAATCCCAATACTTGACATCTATGCCCCAAATACTAGGATACCCTCATATGTAAAGAAACACTACTAAAGTTTTAAATCACACATTAAACCCCACACACTAATAGTGGGAGACTTCAACACTCCACTCTCACCACTGGACAGGTCTGCCTGACAGAAACTTAACAGAGAAATAAGGGAACTAACAGTTGTTATGACTCAAATGGATTTAACAGACATCCATAGAATATTCCATCCAAACATAAAAGAATATACCTTCCTCTCAGAACTCATGAAACCATCTCAAAAATTGACCACATACTAGGTAATAAAACAAACCTCAACAGATACAAAAAATTGGAGTAACTCTGTTATTGAATCACCATGGCTTAAAATTAGAATTCAACAGCAACACTAATTTCAGAAAGCCCACAAACACATAGAAATTAAACAATGCTTACCTGAATTATCAACGAATCAAGGAAGAAATTAAGGACTTCATAATATTCAATGAAAATGACCACACAGCATGCACAATTTGTAGGACACAATGAAGGCAGAGTTAAGTGTGTTAAGTATTATTTTTGACCAACAAACCCCTCTGCCGATGCAATAATCCCAGTCAGACCAAAGGTTTAATAGATGCCAATACTCCTGGGTTGCTCCCTGGGAAAACACAGAGAGGAGGAAATGACCATGGAAAACTGGGAGACCACGTGTTCATTCTCGGGGGGGGGGGCAGTTTAAATAGCCCGTGGGAGTGATCTTTACCCTCCTTAAGGAGGGGTCATCATTTGGCGGCCTTTCTTGGAGGTGGGGTCTGGACTGAGGCAACTCTCAGGGAAAGGAGCTTATGCCAGGAACTGGGGTGAAACCCCCAGCCAAACATTCCAGGCTTTTTTTGTGTAAAGATGTTAGGGGCTGAAGTGACACTTTTAACTAAACCTTTTTTAAACTCCTTGTATATATGTATGCCGGGGGCTGGCGTGAAGTCCCCAACCAAACAAAGAAGAAAGTTCATAGCACTAAATGCCTACATAAAGAAGCTAGAAAAATTTCACACTAGTGAGTTAACACAACACCTGAAAACTCTAGAACAAAAAGAAGCAAACTCACAGAGAAGGACTACACCACAGGGAATAACCAAATTGAAAACTGAAATCAACAAAATAGAAACAAAGAAAACAATACAAAGAATCAATGAGATAAAGAGTTGGTTCTTCAAGAAAATCAACAAAATAGACAAGCCTTTATCCAAACTAACCAAAAGGCAGAGAGAGAACATCCAAATTAACAGAATCAGAAATGAAAAGGGGGACATAACAACAGACACGGAGGAAATCCAGAGAATCATCAGGTCATACTTTGAAAACCTGTACTCCACAAAATTGGAAAACTTAAAGAAAATGGACAACTTCCTGGATAAATATTATTTACCAAAATTAAATTAAGATCAGATAAGCAAATTAAATAGACATATAACTGCCAAAGAAATAGAAACAGTAATCAAAAGTCTCCCAGCCAAAAATATTCTGGGACCAGATGGTTTCAGCACAGAATTCTACAAGATTCTCAAAGAACTGATACAGATACTCCTCAAATTGTTCCACACAATAGAAACAGAGGGAACATTGCCAAACTCTTTTTATGAGGCTACAATTACTCCGATACCCAAACCACACAAAGATTTTACTAAGAAAGAGAACTAAAGACCAATGCCTCTCATGAACATTGATACAAAAATGCTCAATAAAATACTGGCAAACCCAATCCAAGAACATGTCAGAAAAATTATCTACCATTACCAAGTATGCTTCATCCCAGAGATGCAAGGATAGTTCAACATATGAAAATCTGACAACGTAATCCACTAAGTAAACAAATTGAATAAAAAAACCATATAATAATCTCATTAGATGTCAAAAACCTTCGACAAAATAAAACATTCCTTTGTGATAAAGATCATGGAGAGAGCATGGATTCAAGGAACATACCTAAACATAATAAAGGCAATATATAGCAAGCCAACAGCCACCATCAAACTAAATGGAGAGAAACTCAAAGCAATCCCACTGAAATTAGAAACAAGAGAAGACAGTTCACTCTCTCCATATCTATACATAGTACTTGGGGTTCTAGCTAGAGCAATAAGACAGCAAAAGAAGATCAAGGGGTACAAATTGGAAAAGAAGTCAAATTCTCACTATTTGATAGTTTACATAAGTGACTGCAAAATTTCTACCAAGGAACTTCTACAACTCATAAACACCCTCAGTAATGTAGCAAGATACAAGATTAACTCAAAAGAATCAGTAGCTCTCCTTTATACACATGAGAAAGAAATTGGAGAAACATCACCCTTTACAATAGCCACAAATAACAAAGTATCTTAGAGTAACTCCAACCAAACAAGTGGAAGACCTGTATGATAAGAACTTTAAAACTTTGAAGAAAGAAATTGAAGAAGACAGTAGAAAATGGAAAGATCTCCCATGCTCTTGGGTAGGTAGAATTAACATATTAAAATGCAATCTTGACAAAAAGCAGTCTACAGACTTAATGCAATACCCAGCAAAATTCTTAACAGACCTCCAAAGAACAATACTCAACTTCATATAGAAAACAAAACAAAACAAAACAAAACAAAATAGGATAGGCAAAACAATCCTACAATAAAGGAACATCTGGAGGCATAACAATCCCTGACTTCAAACTTTACTACTGAGCTGTGGTACTGAAAACAGCCTGGTATTGGCATAAAAACAGACAGCAGGACCAATGGAACTGAATCGATGACCCAGCTACCAATCCACACACCTATGAAGATCTGATTTTTGATAATGAGCAAAAAATATAAAATAGAAAAAGAACGCAGATTTAACAAATGGTGCTGGCATAAATGGATATCAACATGTAGAAGAATGATAATAGACCCATATCTTTAACCATGCACAAAACTCAAGTCCA